TGCCGTCTTCGTTTGACAAGGATCCACAAACTGGGGGGGGGGGGGGGGGGGGGGGGGGTTTAGAAACCCCAAACCTTTCGGGTTCCGTTTAAAGGGGGTCTCTAAGGGCTCTTAGAAGGGATCTATGCGGGTACTCAGTACAAGGGCCATAAGAATTAGAATCGGGTTTTGTATGGAATATTTCTGCAATATAAGCAGCAATCGGATTGAGAGGCTTGGGGATCTGGATTTTGGGCTATCTGTGTTGGATGTTTGGGTTGTTGGGTGTTCAGGGATTAGGGCTTTAGGGGCTCGGGGTGTAGGGTTTAGGGCGGGGCCGTATAGGGTTTACGCCGAAGCAAGTAAACTTGGGAGAAATAGTAAATAAATAGGCAAGTCAATAAGTAGCTCAGTAAAGTTCGCTCGGGGTCCAAAAAAGACGAACTATTACTCCCTACTACAACTGCTAAGTGTGTCAATCCCCGCAACCCTCCAAGTACTGCTCTAAACCCCAAACTTTAACTATACTGAACTTAGAAGCCTAGCAAAAATTACAATTTTAGCTGTTTCTTAGGGATGATAATATCTAAAAATTATACATTATTTCCAAGCGCCCCAAACCTTAAACCCTGACATCTTCAGCCGCCATCCTAGAGACTTCCCTGCGCCTGCAGCGCTGCGAATGCATCACCAGAAAACGGCGTCATTAAGGCGCAGCTTTCCGAGATGGATTTCCTGGGCTTCGGGGCTTGCGCTACCTGAAAGTTATGGTTCAAGTTTCAGGGCTTTCGCCCCGAGCTCTAATCCCTAAACTCTAGAAGCCCTGAAGCCCTAAAACCCTGAAGCCCTAAACTCTCGACCCAGAGACCCAAATCTTAAACTTGCTTTGTTACAGCAGCCGAGTAGGGCCGGCGCGTTGGGAAGCTCCATGTTCGTAGTTGCCGCTCAGTAGCCGATGCCCCTAAACCTTCAAACGCGAAACCCTGAATTTCGGCGCATTGATGATGAGAATAGGGTTCCTGTTTGAGGGTTCCTTCAAGGGGCTCATATGAGGGTTGTATCATATAGTCATATAGGTGCCCTAAACCCTAAACCCAAAACCCTAAACCCAAAACCCTAAACCCTAAACCCAAAACCCTAAACCCTAAACCCCAAAACCCTAAACCCAAAACCCCAAAACCCTTGATGGTATGATGATGGGAGGATAACAAAGGAGTAAAATAGCCGACTCTCCAGGCCCCTGCATTACCCAGGACTCCACGGCCCTTATATGGGAGTTTCTGAAAATTATGGGTACCTTAGTTTAGGGTCCTTATGGTAAGGATCCTACTATTTAGGGTACTATATTAGGGTCCCCTATTTTTGGGAAACTCCCATATCCAGGGAAACAGACTGCCGCGGTTAAAGATTTAGGGTAGGTCCATTTCCAAATGCCAAATCCTACGTCGTGACCGTGAAGCTCACCTCCGCACACGCCCTCAACCCTGCAATATAGCGGCCTGCATAAGTGGAATGCAACTTTGGTGTATACTGTATCATACCTCTACAAGACAAGAAGCAATGAAGGGATATTCGTATATAGTACCATTTGGACCCTATACCGGGTTCTTGTTAAGGAGTTTCATTTAAGTTACCATTATGAAGAAACCATATTATCCACCATAGAACTCTATTATGGCAGCTTAAATAAAAACTCCTTAACAAGAACCCAGAAAAGTATTCGGACCCTTAACAAGGACCCCTAGGTATATACCCTTAATATATAGCTATTATATACTCATTCTATAGCCCCCATTATAGGGTCCCAGGGGTCCCCATTAAGGGTCCCTCCTTCTCCCCTTTGACTATATGAACCACACCTCAAGCCGTACACACTCGGCCAGGAGGGGCCCTGGAGCCCAATAGCCTCAAACCGCCAGCCCAAAAGCCTCTACAGCCCAACCGTCACAGTCTCAACCCGAAGCCCAACACTCTGCAAAACCCAACCCTAAACCCTAAACAACAAAACCCTTGTACAACCTTGTACAATGCAATGAAGCACTCTTGCCCTAGATGGTAGTTTTCTCAAGAAAGCGCCGCTCCGTTCACGAATGCCGAGCCACTGGGCTTCAAACCTCGATCGCCGCAGGTTCGGACTTTAAGGGCTTAATGGAGGATTCAGGGTTTAGGGGTTTAAGGGTTCAAGGTTTAGTGGTTTAAGGTTTAGGGCAGTTTACGTAGTGGTGTAGGGTTTAGGGCAGCTTTAGGAGTTTAGGACTTAAGGCAGTTTAGGGTTTAGGGCAGTTTAGAGGTTTAGGGCAGTTTATGGCTTAGAGCTTAGGGACTCGCTCCACGCCCGGCAGGCGCCCGGACCCGGGAAGACAGGGGGGAATGTAGGGGTCGCAATAGTTTTTCAGTACGGTTTTGGGCTCCTTTATAGTATAATCATCTAGACCTAAGAGCAACCTAGGATTAAAAAGGGTGTCCTTTGTGGGTTAAAGGGGGTTATAGGGGAACCTAAACCCTAAACACTGGAATTAGGGCCTACTCTGGGTCCTAGTCACAATAAGGAACTCGAAGGACTAGTATTGGTAACATTTAGGCTTCTACAGTTATGACGTTCCTGTTTCGTGCTTCCTGGTAGTGACGTTCGCTTACTTCCCCAATAAGCCACCGAAATAAAAACTTAAACTTTCCAGCTACTACTAAACTATAGGAACCCAACAGTTTAAAGGTTGGGTATTGGGGAACTAACTTCTTCTTTCCTGAGTTGCAAAAGGGCCCAACTCTTCGTCCGCACCGGAACTGCATGGGATCAAAATTTCCCACGTTCAGGCCCGTGAAACCTCAAGCAACTGCAAGATTCAGAAGTAGCCTGTCGTGCACTTCTGTGTTTTGCATTTCAACAGCCCTAAACCCTAAACGACTAAACCCTAAATCCCAAACCCAGACGTCTCTCTTTCAATGAGAAAGGAGATGTCTGAAACAAGCACTTCCTATGGTTAGAACATCAACTTCTATGGGTTCTCATGACTCGGTGAATGTCAACAACCTTCTATAAGGGCCTTAATAGTTAGAATGCATAGAGGTTTCGGGCGTTCCTTCCTTATTATAGTTGTAGTATGATGATTAAACCCCCAAACCCTATGCTAATGTGGAATATGCGTTTCCCCTTGTGTGTCCTGACGCTTTTATGGTCAAGTCAAGATCAAGCTTAGCGGACAAAGCTCAGCATTCTGGCTAATTGTACAAGAGCCATAATCGGCAGAAGCCAGCAAAGCACAGAAGCATGTCCTTGCTTGGTAAAAAGACCGGAAGTAGCTTGCGTTGATCGTGCATGGTTGGTGCTGCCCCGTCTGCATAAATCCTTCCTCTTACGACTTCGCCCTCAATTCGAGAAGTGGATCTTCAAAGACTTTTAGGTTATGTATGCCCAAGAACCAGACGGCAACTCCGCTACTACGTCAATGAATGGGACTTTGGGTGCCAACGCTTTGTTACCAAACGGTGTGAGCTCTGGAAGTCAACAGGCAATGGATGGAGCAAGCAGAGATCAGCACGGGAGTAACCCCAATGTGTTTGACCCAGCTCCTACCTCTACGGCCCGACTCTCCACAGAAGCCCCACTGGAAAGGGAACAGGAACTGCGAGGCCCAGATCATCCACCATATGGTCAAGGGATGCCGCAGGAACCGGTGCAGGCAACTCAACAGTCGAGTCAGCTGTCGTTTGTGCATGGGAGAAGTGTAGCTACACCGCAGACACCTCAGAGCGCGATGCGTGTTCAGGAGTTCTTTTCTGCAGAGAGTAGGACATCGAATGTGGGAACAGAACAACAAGGGGTGAGGTGGATGGCGAGATTTACAGAGTTCCTTCGGACTACTGCTCATCGTGGGGCAACGGGGATGAACAGGATGCTAGATTCTTTTGGCATTCAACATGGAGGAACCGGAGCTCCCCTTCGACCTCAGCCTGGAGCTGGGGCGCAACAGCAGATAAACTTCTCGCCGCCTGAGGAGCTACCATTACAGCCTTCTCACCCACCGGTGCCTTTGTCGTGGACGACTGCTCGACCTCAGGAGCCTCCTCTGTTCAGCAGTTCTCAGGTTGAACATATGAGGCAATCGGTTCGAGAACATCCTATGATCTACGGACCGGGTTCAGAAGTGGAAAGCGATAGATCGTCACGACTACAACAAGAAGTACAACGTCAGATGGAGGAGTACACGTCAAGGTACCATGAGCACGTCATGAGGTTGGAGCGAGAGGTGCAGTCGTTGAGGAGTGAAAGGGCGTCATGGAATAATAATGGGTTTCAAAGAGGACTACCACAAGGCCCTGGCGTACCCACAGGAAGTCATGCCCAAGTACCTGCACAATCCAGTGTTCCACAAGGCCCTGGCGTACCCACAGGAAGTCATGCCCAAGTACCTGCACAATCCAGTGTTCCACAAGGCCCTGGCGTATCCACAGGAAGTCCTGCTCAAGTACCTGCACAATCCAGTGTTCCACAAGGCCCTGGCGTATCCGCAGGAAGTCAGCCTCAAGTACCGGCACAATCCAGTGTTCCACAAGGCCCTGGCGTATCCGCAGGAAGTCAGCCTCAAGTACCGGCACAATCCAGTGTTCCACAAGGCCCTGGCGTATCCGCAGGAAGTCAGCCTCAAGTACCGGCACAATCCAGTGTTCCACAAGGCCCTGGCGTATCCGCAGGAAGTCAGCCTCAAGTACCGGCACAATCCAGTGTTCCACAAGGCCCTGGCGTATCCGCAGGAAGTCAGCCTCAAGTACCGGCACAATCCAGTGTTCCACAAGGCCCTGGCGTATCCGCAGGAAGTCAGCCTCAAGTACCGGCACAATCCAACGTACCACAAGGTCCTGGTGTAACTCATGGCAATCAAGAGCAAGTTGGTTCCAAGGCTACAGCTACGTCAACCCAGCCGGAAGGTCACCATGCAACAGGTATGTCAAGTGGATCGTCAGCTCAGCAGTGGTTGGGAAGTCCACAGACTCAGGACCAGATGGCGTTGTTGGCAGGAGGGATGGCGCAGTTGCAGCAGGCCATGTTGAAGCAGATGACGGTCAACAAGGACGAGGATAAGTCTCCTGAAGCAGTAAAACCGGGAGTTTCGCAGCTGCCATCGTTGCCCCAGGTGAAGGCAGAGTCCAGTTCGATTGACATAGCGGATTGGATGGAGATGCTGGCGGCTCCAATGTCAGACTTGAGCGACGGGTCAGCAGCTTGGTGGAGAAAGGTTTGCGAGCAGGCTACGTTGGCTTACCAGGCCTGGACTGATGCGGGTCCAATGGAGCGATTAGCCATAGCTCCACCGAAGGACCCTTCGTTGGAGGATGGTAGGTGGGGACGAGTGAACAGCAGAGCGGCTTCGATGATATTGTTGGCCCTTCACGAGAATGTTCGCTCTGAGATGGTTGCGCGACGACTCACAGGGTCAACAGTCTCGCTCCTCTTTCGCCTTATGACCCTCTATCAACCTGGAGGTGAAGCTGAACGCTCGCGGATCTTGAACAACTTGCAGAACCCGCCGGAGGAGACGGAACCCCAGAAGATTGTTGAAGCTTTGAGGTCGTGGGATAGATGGCTGCGTCGTTGCAAAGAGCTGAGTTTGGCTACCCCAGATCCAACAATCTTGGCACGTGGCTTGAACAAAATGGTTCGAAAGCTTGTGGAGCAAAACGCCGACATGGGCTTCAGGACAAACCTGGTGCGCTCCACACTTCAGGTGGACACTCGGCCTTCCTACACCAGCATCGACACCTACTACAAGCACCTGATGGGTGAATGCGAGGCGCTAGCTGTAGCAACCTCTTCTTTGTCAACGCAGGCCTTGAGCTCTACCTCAACCAGACCTGAGCCAAAAATAAAGCCGATGCGAACGGAGACGAGGAATGGGAACTACAACACCCCTCCTCCTCCAAAGCCGCCGTCGACCCCTTCTACGTCGCCAACCAATGATGGTGCGGAGTCTCAGCGCTCCAATGGTGAAAAGAAGGATGTCCCGTGCAAGTTCTTTGGAAGGACGTTTCGAGGGTGTGCAAGGGTGAACAAGTGTCCGTTTCTTCACTCGTGGGATGGACTTGAAAAAGAACGCCCATCAAGATGCCTGGCTTGTGGAGGCAAGCATATGGCAAAGGACTGTCCCAATAAAAAGGGAACCCCGCCGTCATCTACGACAACACCCCGCACGGCCAACAAGGCAGCTGGAGAACAAGGCGGACCCACTTCAACAACACCTACCACAACCAAGACGGTGAGAATTGATGATAAGCCCCAGGTTGAAGGAGGTGGTGGGGAAACGACCGCGTCAGCTACGACTACCAATGACCTCAAGGAAGTGCTTGCGGATGTGGGAAAGATGCTTAAGGCGATGACTTCAGTGACTACAATCAAGCGGGCAGAGGTCAAGGACGATCCCTTGTTGGTTAAGATAAAGGTGTTAGCGGCTAAGTTTGGCTATGAGGATGAAGATGAAGGTGGTGGCCTCCTGGACAGTGGTGCCTCACATCCGATGCGGGCAGCTACCGAAGCCGAGTATGAAAGAAGCATTCCGGTGAAGGTGACGTTAGCCGGTGAGGAGGAGCGTGTTCTACGACAAAATGGTCAGGGCACTGTTCTCTTGAAGCCAGGAGAAGCGGAAAACTCCCAGCCGATCGTTCCATTGGGAGCTGTCATAAGAGACCTGGGCTGCCGCTTGCAATGGAAGGAGGATGGAATCAAGCTCTTCCACCCGGACCGCGGGCAGGTGAAGATTAGAATTCGGAACAATTGCCCGGAGGTGAGCACAGCAGAAGCTCATCGCCTGATTAAGGAGTTGGAGATGGTTCAGCTGAAGACGCTCAATGATCAGGTTTCTTCCCTCTCGGCGAGATTGGAGGTTTTGCAGAAGGAGGAGAAGCGCACTTGGGATCAGCTCCTGAAGGACTTCATGGAATGTGGAGATCGCGGACTACTTCATAGAGCTCTCCTTCTTTCCCCGTTCACCAAGGACCTTCCGGCGGATGTGCAAGCTATGATGGTTGCCAGCTTCAAGGTGGAGGGTGGTGATGAATACCTAAGGAAGCTACCTTTCTCGAGGAGGAAGCGACGGTTGCTACAAGCTTCAAATGACTGGGTTGTGAAGTTGTTCCACGGCAAGAGCGAGGAGAATAGCAACTTTGAGAGGATTATCTCCCGAGGAGGAAAGGTTATCCTGGAGGTGGACGTGGCGAACTCGAGGGCAATGGATTTGCATGGAGCGTCTCCGGTCTATCAACTTCTACTGTGGGCGGCTGCGAAAGGAAAGATTGCTGACGTGATCGGCAGTCCCCCGGAAACTACATGGACTACCTCCTTGACACCAACGAGGGGACCAAAAGCGATCCACCAACGGACCAAGGACTTTCCGTTCGGAGTGCCGGGACTTTCTGTACTACAACAGCAGCGCTTGGACCAAGACACGGCATGCGTGGCAAAGCAGCTTTTGTTGTGGATGTGCGCCATGATGAAGAGTAAAAGGAATGTGGGATTTGCCTTGGAGTTCCCCGCGGATGTTGTTCCAATGAGAGAGGAGGAGAAGGACTACCTTTCGTTTTGGAAGACTGAGATGTGGAAGTCTTTCAAGTCAGTGAGCGGAATGGCTAAGGCTACCTTCAACCAAGGAGCAGTGGGACATCAAGCACTACGACCCACCACAATAGCTACGAACTATCCTGAAGTTTTGGAGTTAGATGGTGATTTCGACTTCGGGAGCCATTGTGTGCCTACATCGCTGCTGGACCGAGCGTCTTTGAGAAGATGGTCTTTACAGCTGGAGCTCATGGTGGCAAGGGCTGCAGTGAACTACGTTCCTTCTCCAGAGACTGAGGAGGAGGAGGCGATTAACTGTGGAGCAAGGATGAGTAAGTTGACCAAGGACCAAAAGGACGCCTGGACCTTGCACCTCTTGAACGACCACCAGCCATATCGAGCAGATTGCTCAGTATGTTTGAACGCCCAGGCAACCGGCTACCAACATCGTCGACGAAAACAACCACAACTATACGCCCTGGCGCTGGACCTTGCAGGTCCTTACAAGGTTAAGGGTCGTGACATGGACTTTGACGATTACAAGTACATCATGGTTGCAGCTTATAAGTGCCCCAAGGAGTACCTGGATGCTAAGACGCTTGAGGCGATGGAAAAGGAGTTCTCCGTTGATGAGTACGAGCCCTCCGATGGTGAAGGGGAGTTTGGGATGATTGAGGACGAGAAGGGGTTGATGGAATCGGCTTCCGGAGGTGAAGAGGAAGCTCATGGTGATCCAGAGGGTCCACCTACACTTGATGAGGCAGTGGAGGAGCTGACAGAGACCCCTGAGTGCATCACAATGTACCTCACTAGGCCTTTGAGGAGGAGAACCAAGAATGAAGTTTTGCGAGCTTCGAAGGAAATCCTTTTGCAGTTGAAGCAGACGGGCCTCCATGTTGCTACAGTGCACACCGACCGGGCTCGGGAGTTTTCTTCGGTCATCTACAAGGACTGGATCGCCGACAATGGCCTTCGTCACTCACGGACAGCAGGAGGAGACCCGGCGGGCAACAGTACGGCTGAGCTTGGAGTTAAGTGGGCAAAGTCGAGGGTGAGGGCATTGTTGAAGGCAGCGCAGGCGGATGCCCGAGATTGGCCTATGGCAGTGCAACATGCGACTTCTACGGCTTGGGCGAAGGCTTTCCCATACACCCCGACTACAATGACGCCAGCAACTCCCTTTGGAAATGAAGTTTGGTTCCGTTCAAAGAACTACAAGGGCACTGGAGAGAAGAAGCATGATCCTACCGGGGCGCGGTGGAAAAGAGGATGGTACCGAGGACCCTCTTATGATGTGAACCGGGGCCATATTATCCTTCGAGAAGATGGAGGCCTCACGATAGCCAAAAGTGTGAAGTTCAACGTTGTGGACCCGTCAAAGGACCTACCTGATCTACTACCACCTGGAATGGCAGAGGATCTACTTCCAGAACCAGAAGGAAGCGATGTGTTGGTGCCTAAGAGGACCTTGGAAAGTGAGATTGAGTTTATTGCAAAGATGCTCCTTGGAAAGGGTGCGTTCAAACCTACGGACGTGATGTACCTCTTCGAAAAGCTTGAGGAGCTGGGCAATACCGATTTTCGGGTCGGAAAGAAAACTCCTATGACAAGTTGGTACACGGGAGCCTTCGTTCATGGCGGTGTGGCCGGTCTACGAACCAATGCAAGAAGGTTTCCGAATGCTACAAAGTACTTGGTCGCCTACGCCAAGGATAAGGTTGGTGATGGGGAGTTTACAGCCATTGGACTTACCAGGAACTCTGCGCTAGGTCTACATCGTGACGTTCACAACAGTCGATGTTCTACGAACACAGTTCTTCCTGTGACTGAGTTTGAAGGGGGAGGACTTTGGATAGAAGATGATGATGTTGATGCAGAGGACGCAGTTCTCAAGGCTGTCCCAAAGAAGGGTGAGGTGAAGGGACGCGTGCAAGAGCTACAAGGTGGCAATCCTGTGAGCTTCAAGCCGAATTTGTGGCACGAGGTCCAACCATGGAAGGGCGAGCGTGTTGTGATGTTGCTTTACACACCTCGAGCTTCAAGGTTAAAGCCAGCTGAGATCGAGGAGCTCAACGATTTGGGTTTCAAACTGGCAACGGGAGCATCGACTGAACCCGAACCAGAGGTTCAGGAGGAGTGCGAGCAGGACGATGACATTGAGATCAAGCGAGCGTTCCTGAACACCGACAAAGATCAAGATGATGCGTTTGTGGAGCTTGAGGATGATGAGTTGTTCTCGGGAGTGGACGTGAAGAACAAACCGTGCAACGAGTTCCTGATGCAGAAGGTCAAGTTCGACTACGGAAGATGATTAAGAAGTCCGAGGTCCAGTATACTGAAGGGATCGAGGAAATTCTTCAACACCACATTGATAAAGCCAAGCCTTTGGAGGTGACCCACACCGTGAGCCTAAGCGAAGTTCGAAGGGCAAAGGACAAGTGGCTTCCCTCGGCCAAGAAGGAGTACGACAACCTAGTGGAAGGAAAAAAGGCTTTCAAGCCAACAAAGTTCAAGGACCTCCCTGCTGGATGCCGCATTGTTCCCTGCAAAGGGGTTTTTACAGTGAAGCCAGATCCTCAAGCGGGCTTCAAGCGCAAAACGCGCTTTGTTGCATGTGGGAACTACCTGGAGGAGGGTGAGCTCACTGGGAATGACTTTGAGGTCTATGCTGCAGGTTTGGATGCTTCTTCACTGCGTACCATGCTGGCGTATCGGACTACTAAGCCTACGTGGGGAGCTGGTGTGACGGATATAAGACAAGCTTTTGTGCTGGCGCCGTGGATTGGGAAGGCTGTGGCACTTAAGCCACCACCCTTGGCGGTGGAATTGGGATTGGCGGAGGAAGACGACTACTGGCTAGTCCTTCAGTCCATCTACGGACTAAGGGAATCCCCAGCCGCATGGGCAAACTTCCGCGACAAGGAGCTCGAGGCTGCACGATGGGAATGCCAGGTGGAAGGGAAACCCACAGTGTTGAAGCTTCAGCAGTTGGTCTCCGACAATCAAGTGTGGAAGGTTGTGCGTGCTGATGGCCAGGGTTCAGAGCTGGGCTACTTGATGGTGTACGTCGATGACCTGATGATAATGGGAACGAATAACGTCATGGAGTCGTTTTTTGGTTGGGTTTCGGAAAAATGGGAATGTGATGATCTCAATATTCTGTCTGAAACCAACCCGATCAAGTTTTTGGGAATGGAGCTTCACTACGTCAACGAAGGCATTGAGGTGTCTCAAGAAGGGTTCATACGAGAACTACTACGAGCACATAACCACGATGGTGGAAGAGCCAAGACTCAGGGACCCAAGGAGACGCTTATCATGTCGGCGGAGGAAGAAGCAAGCCTTTTGGATGCCATCCCGATAGACTTGAAGGGCAAGGAGAAGGTTATCAAGGAGGCACAGCGACGGGTTGGAGAAATGCTATGGCTTTCCTCTAGATCGAGGCCAGATATTCAGTATGCTACGGCAATAATGTCATCGAGAATCACTCGGTGTCCGGAAGCTGTGGTCACCATAGGAGATCGTTTGCTTGACTACCTGAACGAGACGATGTATGAGAGACTTCGATTTGCCAATGATGACGGCGGTGATTTTCAGCTGCGGACCTACACGGACTCAAGCTTTGCCCCATCCTCTGGAAAGAGTCATGGTTCGGTTGCCATCTTTTATGGGACGTGCCCTATTGCTTGGAGGAGCTCTAGGCAACCACTGATAGCCCTTTCAACGGCTGAGACGGAGCTAATGGAAGGAGTGGAAGGGGCCGTTATGACTCTTTCTACGAAATGCCTCCTGGAGGAGATTTTGAACAGGCCGGTGATGGTCAACCTACACATCGACAATAAGGCGGCTATTTCCTTGATGACTACGGCATCGGGGAGCTGGAGGACGCGGCACTTAAGGCTACGTGCTAACTGGATAAAGCAGAGAGTCCAGGAGAATGACATGGTGATCAAGCATGAGCCGGGCGTGACTCAGCGAGCGGACCTTGGAACAAAACCCCTGCCAAAAGGACAGATTGGCGGAGCTTAAACAGCTATGGGATATCCGAGACCGACGAACCCCAAGGCCTGTGAACGTGAAGAGTATGAATATTTCATCTTGGATGGGCAAGTTGGTGATGATGTGTCAAGTTTGCGGAGCAGCGGGTTATAAGGACACCATCCAAGCAGAGATCCCCTGGGACCTGTACTTTGTCATCATTGTGATGGCCATTGCGGTGATTGGGGTTTGGGAGGCGATGAAGCACTGTGTGAACAATCGTCCCGTTCGACTACGTGCTCTGAGGACTAAGGCCCTTAACTCGACCTCTGACAAGCTCACGAGGAATGAGCTGAAGGAGCTGCAAGTGTTGATGTCAATGGTTCCTGAAGACTTGAGCGACGAGCAGAAGATTCGGCTTGTTGACTTAAAGAATCTCTTCGAAAGGACAATGCCATCGGGTACATCACCGGTTCCTACAGTTCGAGAAGAAAGGGAACAGTTTACGGAAACGCCTGCTTCGTCCTCTACGACTTCAGCATTCGCGACGTCTTCTTCTAGCACAAACAAGCAGCCAAAGCGCAGAGTGATTACAAAGGACCAAGAGACTCAAACGCAAGCTCCGGTGTTTCAGCGAGTTGAGCCCCCGCCCCCAGCGCACATGAGGGTCGTTGCCGGCCCCTTCCATCAGGTTGAAGGACGTGATGTGGTTCATGTGTTTGAAAACTGCTGGGGCTTACGCAACGCTGGCCGGAAGAAGATGGTCCATCTCTGTCGCTGCTGTACAGAGAACGGAGGGAACCGCATTTATTAAGGGGTGTGGTCCCAGTCTGTCAAAAGGCACCAAGGAGGAGTGTAGAATATGCGTTTCCCCTTGTGTGTCCTGACGCTTTTATGGTCAAGTCAAGATCAAGCTTAGCGGACAAAGCTCAGCATTCTGGCTAATTGTACAAGAGCCATAATCGGCAGAAGCCAGCAAAGCACAGAAGCATGTCCTTGCTTGGTAAAAAGACCGGAAGTAGCTTGCGTTGATCGTGCATGGTTGGTGCTGCCCCGTCTGCATAAATCCTTCCTCTTACGACTTCGCCCTCAATTCGAGAAGTGGATCTTCAAAGACTTTTAGCTAACTATTGGTGCCCCTACATTATGTGTTCACAAAACCTGCCTGGTCATTTGCTGAAAGCCTCCAGAGGAACCCTCTAACAAAAACCCGGCAACGATCCCCAAAGAACCCTATGCTGATGCGTCGTAAGGCGCATAAGCTTTAAACCGCAGAACCTGCACCCAAAACCCTGAAGCCCATTAACCTCAAGTTGCTTCTGAGACACAAAGAAACGACGCCCACAGCTCGGAATATGGCAGAGAGAGTGTCCTCCGGTTCAGGGCTCCTTTAGTGGAGCTTTAACGGTTCCCACAATGTGGAGGTTGCAGTGTCGGGGTTTGTGGTTTAGGGTTTGAGTGTTTCGAGTGGGGCTGAGTGTTCAATCACTTCCGAAAGCAGGCTTAAGAAAGCAAGGGGCTTATGATTTCAAGTGAGTTAAGGGGCTTTAGGCTTATGGCTTCGAGTTGTTCTTCCGGAGGTCATTTGTGCGTAGCATTTGGAAACACTGCATGTTCAGATAGATAGCCTCTTACTCACATATTCTAATACACAAGAAACGAGAAAGATTGACAAGCAGACAAAGCGGCGCAGTACTGCGTCATTATTGGCTTTGGGGGTCTTCGGGGCTGCTTGAAGGATCATGGGACTTAGTTTGTAATTACCGCTACTCTGAGGATAAATGTGCTTATAACTACTTGAAACCCCAATCAAGGTACTTATAACCATACCTTCGAAGTCCCATGATCCTCCATTATAGAACCCTGCCAGATCCCTTTAAGGAGCCCTTTTTATAGAACCCTAAAGTAGCCTAGAAAGGTACCCTGAACCCTACTTACTAAGTCTCATGATCCTTTAAGTAAACCTCAAACCCCCAACCCTAAACCGCCTAAACCCTATACCCCAGGAGTACCCTTGTGGATCCCTTTAAGGAATCCTTATAGATCCCTTTATAGGAACCCTAAACCAGGGAGGGGCTCGAGGGGCTCGGCTCAAAGTGTAAAGTGCCTTTGGTTCGCAGGCTTGAGCAGAAGGGTGCACCCGAATATAGGGGAACAGGATGTTGACGTATAGCCTGCTATAAGTATAAAGTCGTACGTAAGTATGTATGCACATATATGTAGATATATATGTCTACACACATATATGTGCATATATCCATATATATATATATATATATATGTATAGATGAACCATGATATCGGAACGTTACCCCGAGAGTTGCTCTGGGTTTGATGTGGCCTTTCACCAGATGCTGGGATTGCAGGATCTTGTGCCCATCCTGATGCTGAAGGTTGGGTTTATAGTAGAAGCCAGAAAGTTGGAACATGGATTTAGGAGGACTAGTGCTAGGATCCCTTATACTTTACTTTAAGGGCATGAGGATAATGATGTTCCAACTTTCTGGCTTCTACAGTAGTGCTTGGGGTCGAAGGTTTAGGGGTTTAGGGTCGAGCGTCGCATGGTAGACGCTGGGCCTCGCTTTGTAAGCCGAGCTCTGCGAGAGTGTCCGAAGGCATCAACGCCTTTCCTTGGCTTCATCGAAACTGGATTAGGGCCTGATTAGGGTTTAGGGTTTAGGGTTTAGGGCTTCGGGTTCCAGTATTTTGGGATTTGGGGTGGGGGGGGGGGGGGGGGGTTTGGGATTTGAGGCTTGGCATGCATGTCCAAACACATTTCGATATTTCGAATCCGAAGCAGGCCAAATGAAACTCTCGCAGAACCAACCTGAATGCAACATTGGATATGCAGGAACCATGCAGCAATCCAGACTCAGTCAGCTGCCAGTTGCTGTAATCCCCCAAGAAGTTGCTGTTTCACGGGATGCCATTCCTGCACTAGGTGTCGACTGCAACAGTTCCCAAACTTACATATATTTCGGGCTTGACATTAAGCAATAAGGCAAATCAAACATTATCCCAAGCCGATACCTGTAGATGCAAGGATCCCGCCTTCGCCAGTCTCTAAACTTTGACAGATGGACAGCCGCCCGCTAGAAGCCTCGATTGACAGTCCTGACAAACCCTGAACCGTAAAACAATCACCCTGACACACTAAACCCTAAAGCCAACAGAATGTCGGTCGGATCATCCAGATCTAGGATTCTTAACACAACAGGTTTCTACACCAAAAAAGCCTGATGCCCTTAAATCCTGAACCAACACCCATTTCGAAGCTCGGGAAGTTTTGGGCTTAGGGTTTCCCCTGATATCAGCCCCTCAAGAGCACAATGTAGAACCTGGAACCTGAACTACGCCGAAAACGTTAACCTGGACAACACAGTCAAGCCGAGCTGCGACCTGTCGACGTGAACAAGGAGGCGATCCCCTTTTGCAGTTGCTCTTCCTCGGCTCGTAGCGTGTCTAGGGTTTAGGGTCCAGTCACTTAGACCGGGTCCTTAGTGGCCACGTTCCCACCGTGAATTTGATACCACTGTCAACGGCAAACAGCTAACACTAATACAAAAAACGCATACAGCAATCAGCACAGACATCTTTAAGTAAGGGAAGAGTGGCGAGCATAACCTGCGAACATAACCTGAACCCTCAATCCTAAACCTGCTTTACAAAGCAACATGTAAGAGCTTGGGAGAACCTCATAGCGCCCTCGCTGGCAAATCCCCGGATGATAGCAGTGAGCAGAACTTGCTGGCCATTGAACCGGTTTGGGTCTGAGGGCATAGCGTTTCGGTCTTCGGGCCAATATCGAGAGAGACTTTACATGACAGGCCAATAACAATCGTCTCGTGACGGCAACTCGCTCCACGTCAGCATTAGCCAGCGACAAGACAGGTATAGGGGTCCTGTGGAGGGGGGTCTGCGCATGGTTTCTTACCACCAGTGTCGGTCGCCAGTACCATCGTCATTGCAGTCATCTTCAGCATCCTCATGAGTACATAACCTTGCTGCTTTGGAACCGTTTTCCGAGCTTGCCGGAGCACCTCTTACAAAACTTACAATGCAGTCCCAGCCTTGTCTTAGGGTTCAGGGTTTCCTTGGAGGGGCAGGGGACTAGTAGAGCTTAAGTACCTTGAATGGAGTTACCCCAAGTATAACCCTACTTGCTAACTCCCCTGCCGCTCCAAGTAGACCCTAACCCCCATAGATCCCTTTAAGGAACCCCCATAGATCCCTTCAAGGAGGCCTTGTAGAGCCCTTACTAGCTCCCCTGCCCCTCCAAGTAGTGAATGACTCCCTAAACGCTAAACCCTAAACCCCAAATCCAATATGAATCATGCCGGAGGGGACCCTAAACCCCAAATCCAATATGAATCATGCCGGAGGGGACCCTAAACCCCAAATCCAATGAATCATGCCGGAGGGGCAGCTTGCTTCTGCACCTGCACAAGGAGTTCACTCTGAGGGGGGGGGGGGTCAGTTTCCGACCCGAAACAATGACTAAAAACAAGTTTCTGAAAACACGTGCATTCAAGGATCTCGGCGGTTTCCATGAATCTCACAGAGTTTAGAGGCCCGAATAGTTCTCAGATATTTTTGGGGGGTGCTACATGAAAGTATGAATACAATCAGGAAGTCCAGGGAATATCTCCGGTAAACATTCCTGCTTCTTTAGCCTCAAAGGAGGATATCGCTAAGATACAGTAGTAACTGAGTAACGTAAGGGATAGCATTTGCAATTATTCAGGCTGCTATACTGTGATCTAAGCTCTGAACTTTTAGCCGAAAGAATGCTACTAGGTTCCCCCAACCCCCCTAGTAGTAAGGGTACCCGTTTACCCTACGATTCGATTTTAGCTAGAAGACCCCACCATGCAAAGGGCAAGGGGTACTACTGGGAGACTCAGACTGTATCATACATGAACTCCCTCTGATGCCGGGATCCTGTACTTGGAGGATCATGGGAACTAGGGTTATTACTTGCTTGGGTAACTATACTTATTATTACTTATTAACAACTTATAACCCCAATTAGGGTACTGATAACAATGCTTCTTGAGTCCCACGATCCTCCAAGTAAAGTTTTCGAAAGGATGGCTATGCAGGGGACGTCCCCGAGGCCAGGCTCGCGCCAAGGTTTGAGGAGAATGGGTTTAGGGTTTAGGGCCAAGGTTTGAGGAGAGCGTGCAATTCTGGGTGCTTCACCTGCCTGGGCACATGCAGGCCGACCAGCACAAACCAAGGCTCCTGGTGAGCTTGCGCTGCACGTAGGTGTCGCTGTCCGGGTGCTGGGGGGGGCGAAGGGCGCCATGCACATGCAGCTTTGCGCTTGGAGATGCGTGACATGCTGGCAACATAGAAGTAGAGGGCCCGGTCTGCGAGGAGGTGCCCGCGGCGCACGTGATCTTCCAGCTCCTGGTGGCCGCATTTCCTGTCTGGTTCTTAGTAGGGAATGGGGAAAAGGGTTATGGGGACTATTATAAATATCATATGGGGACTACAAAAGGGATCCATTACCCCATTCCCTACTAAGAACCAGACAGTTTCAGCGGCCACAGCCGCGG